GAACAAGAGCGGGCGACCATGGCCTACTACCTGGACGAGTACAAGGAGACCAACATCTCGGTGGACTCCCTGGTCATGGCTCTCTTCGAGCTACTCAACACCCATGCCAAGGTGAGGCAGGGAGACCCAGCACCAGGGGGTAGGGGGATGGAGACCACTGCAGGAGGAGGGAACAGCGAAAAGCAAATGGATGGTCAATTTCCTGGGGTTTCTGCAGCCCTGGGTCAGGCTGGGCTAAGAGCACGTTTCGGGGGGGGACTCCGCTGGGTTTGATGTACCCAGGTTTCAGTGCAGCATTTGCACATGCACCGTGGTCAGCGGCCTGCATTGTGACTGGAGCACACGTGGCCATTGTGTGAGGGTGTGAAGCTGTAAGTACTGTGGGAGCCTCCTTGGAGGCCTGGCGGCAAAGGGCGTGGTTAGCACCAAGGGGTTAAAAAAAGAGACCCTCCAGGCCGCCCAGGCACCGTCTCAGGGTTGGCTTTGCCCTCCCCTCCCTGCAGTTCTCGCTGCTCTCCGAGGTGAGGGGCCTGCCTGCCCCGCAGGACCTGGATCGCTTTGACAACCTGGTGCTGAAGCGGGAGATCGAGTCCATGAAGGCCCGGCAGGCCTCGGTGCCCAGCGCCGACTCCTACTCCGTGACGTCCTGCAGCGACACCGGCTCCTCCACTGGCAGCCACTTCACCGCCACCACCGTCAGCTCGGCCCGGGTAAGTGCGCTTCCCTTTCCCTCAGGGCTTTCCTGCCAATCCCAGTCGGCTTCCGGAACCATCTTGCGTCCCCTGGAAGGCCCCCTCCTGTGACGTCCTCCTGTCTGAACCCCTATCCCCACAAAAAACCCTCTGCAAACCTGCTCCCCATCAGGTCCCCAGAACGAGCTCCAAGCTCCCCGCCCTCTCCCGCCTTCGTGCTCACGGTGACTCCGCTCCGGCAGCCGGCTGAAGGCATCCTGGAGACCCTGGTCTCTTGTGCAGAGGTGGCTCCGAGGTGGTGCTGGGAGGAGAATGGGATTGCTGGCTTGGCTCTAAAACTGCTGCCTGGTCAAACTGCGCGGGCCTCAAGGCAGGAGCAAACTCCTACAGGCATCCCGGAAAAATCTACCTTCCAACCCCCAGCCCACCCCCTCCTCCACGGCTCGGCAGAATCCGCTGGGAACTGTTTGAGAGGAGGAAATGTCTCCCACTGAAGCAAGAGATACTGGGCCACTGTGGATGGCCACGTGCCAGCTCTGCTTGGCCAGTGCCTGGCTCCTAATGGGCAAACTCTGTAACGGTGACTCCCAGATGCCTCGCTATAATGCTGGGGAAGGTCGTGTTTGGCATGGAAAGGCTCACCTGGTCGCTCTACTCCTGGGGTCAGACACATGGGCTCAGGAACAGGCGTGGGGCTGGCCAGGAGCCAGAAATGATGCAGAAGCATCAGACTCATGCCCCGAGATCTCCCCTGGCCTCTGTGTGTGTGACACTGATGGACCCTCGTCAGGGCAAAGAGAGAGACCCTTGGAGCACATGGAGAATGCACACGCTCGCCCCGGGAGCATTTCAGCAGTCCCATGCCTGCTGGTGGTGGTTGCGGGGCCGAGCTCTGCCCAGCAGGGGGCCAGTGCATTAGAAGGGGCTCCACCCGCCTGCCACGGTGGCCCAAAGGGAACTGAACAAGCAGGAGGCGGCAGCACCGGGTTTTGCTAGGGATGGTCCAGCTGTAAGTCCTCCAAGCATCAGGAGAGGTCTGCAAGGAGAGGTCAGCTGGAGGGGGCGTGGGACTCAGAGATGATCCACCAGGACTTTGGGGAAGGGTCCTCTGCAGGCTCTTGGGAACCGAAGAGGTGGTGAGAGCTTGGAGATGGGGCCCTCATCTCGGCAAGAGAAGGGTTGAGATCGGGCACCAACTCCCCAGTCGCACACACACGGGGAGAGTGGCCAGCAAAGCCCGGCCAAAGCCAAGCCTGCTTGCAAATCCCACCCTATATCACCACCCTCCAATTTTCATGGCACGGACATAGGCTCCATCTGCCTGGCCCGACCCTGGCTTGCCGTTATTGTCGTGGTACTCACTGTTCCTTGAAACAACTGCCCCTCTTGCCCCATAAACACACAGGCCCCCGGCCCCCTCCTTCCCCATCCCATCTGCATTCCTTACCCGTCCTCCTCCTCCCAGCACGTCTGTGGCTCCGGTACAGTCGCCGGCCTGCCTCGGTGAGCACGGTCTAATTAAGTTATCATAATCACCTCGAAGTGTGCAGCGGTGCGGCCCCAAAATTAATTTCCCAGCCGTAAAACGCCTTCCATCAGAAAGACATTAGCTGCCTGGGAAATTAAAACTTCCGTGAAAAGAGCAGGTGCCAGGGGCTGCTGGCAGAGACGCGCGGCGAGAGGGGCAGTCGGAAAACAGACAGGGTTGGCTCCGCAGCCAAGAGGGGAGAGGCAGAGGGGTCTTTCTTGGGGGCGAGGCAGCCGGATTTGAGCTCTGAGCAGCCCTGGGAGCGGTTTTCCAGCCTCCGTGGGAGTTAATCCCTTCTGCGCCACCGGGGTGGATTAAAGCCAAACACTGGACCAAGCCAAACTCCAGAATCACTCGTATGCCAGCAGCCTCCTCTGCCCAATATCGCCAGAGCTGTGGAAGAGGGCGCTGGCAAGGGCAGCTGGTGCATGTGGGGGGAAGAGGATGCGGGGGGGCTACCCAGAGGGGGACAGGGGCAATTAAAATTTTGGCAGGGCACCGTTAGGCAGTGCCCCTGCCAAGTGCCATCGCAGGTCACCCGTGGGTGCTGGCAAAGGAGGGGCGGTCGCCCTGCGAAGGCCAATTATGACAAGAGGGGATCAGGAAGGCTGGGAAATATTTCAAATCTCAAATCAGCGGGTGGCTGCCTTCCGCCCTTCCCCCCACGCGATCGCTAGCTGTGCTGGGCAGCAGCTAACTGCTCTCTGCCGGGATGACGCTTCCGAACGTGGGAGTCAGCGTGAGCAGCCCCCTCCCAAATTACTCCTGCTGGGAGCCCTTGCAGCCATTCCCCGGGTCTGCGGGATCGCACGGGCCGGGAATCAGCCCAGGGCTTGCTCCGGGGGCTGCAGGGAAGCCAGGGCAGGTAACGCAACTTCTCTTCCCATAATCCTGGCTCTTGCTTGCCGCTCCTGAGACTCGCAGCCTCCGTCTAGAGCAACCCCAGCAACCAGCGTGGCCAGGCAGTCCTGTGCCTGGCCCTGCCCTTTGCTCCAGTGGTGCAGGAGGCGGAGATGATGGCGTGAACTCCAGGGGGCCGGTTATGTCTGTCAAAGCCAGGAGCGAGCCCAGGCAGCCCCCTGATGCCGGTTCCTTGGCCCCACGTCCCTGCGCGGCTCTCAGAACAAAGCGCTCGGTGCCTTAATTTAACTGCACGGGAGACACCCCGATGCCTGCCCCGGGGGTGGGGGGAAGGGCTTGGGCCACATTGTGTTCATGTCCTGGGTTTGTTCTGCCTCCTCCCTAACGTTCTGTTTTTTCCCCTTTTTGTCCGTGTGGATCTGCTCCCCCAGGAGCGGCTCTTGTGGCTAATCGACCTGATGGAGGTAGGGGCCTGGGGGGGGGGCGGGGCGCTCGCGTGCTGGGGTTTGCATGGTGACAGGGCAGGAGGGGGCACACCTCAGCTGTGTGCTGCCAGAGGCTGATGCCTCTTTGTGCTCTCCCCATGTGAGCAGCTGGGGCGCCGTTCTCCCGGGTTTGCTTTTATCCTTTGGCTCTGTCCACACCTTCTGCCTTAATCCGGCTGGTGCCGTGACCCCAGGGTGCTTGCTCCTTCCTCACTGCCCCGCCTGTCAGCTGCCTGGTGTCATCGGCCAGTCGGGGCTGGGCTGCAGGTCACGTAGCCCATTAGGGCAGGTGAGACTAGGCAGAGGTTGGCTTTTCCCCGACGGCCTTAGGGCCGCATTATCTTTGATTCAAGTGCCCCAGAGCAGCCTCGGAGTGTAATAGCAACGCACAGTAGCAGGGCTCTTAACCTCGGGGGCACAGCCACGCTCCTCCTCTGGAAGGGCTGGATCGGAGGGGAGGGGGCTCAAAATATCCAGGTTCTGCTGACTGGCATAGGACCCACCCTGGGCAGTCAGACCCCCCCATACAGGGAATGATTGACAGCTCTCCTTGGTGAGGCTGAGTGCATCCACTAAAGAGCCTTGGAGAATCCCCTCTAGCCTGGCGGGAGGGGGCTCCAGGTTCACGGATGGAATTCACCCTGCAGGGCGGGTGGGCTCTGAAGGCACCTGGGTTGCAGCTGGCGCAGCAATTGGTTTCCGTGGCGCGGTGCCTGCGTTCGGACGGCGTGACGTTGCTCCTGGCGGTGATCGGTTCTTACCTGTCTGGGCTCTGAGGGAGCAGGGGGCTAGCAAGAACGACCTCCCTGGCTCCATGTCAGACTGCTGCACTAACCCCTGACGTGGCACTTGCCATGTCTCTGTGGGCTCAGAGGGGCTCCGGGTCCCTTGCTCTGGATGTGATCTGGGCATCTGCAGGGACAGAGGAGCAACTTCATAAGTGCCTCCTGCTCCCCACCCAATAGCCCTGCTCCCTGGAAAGCCCCTCCCATGCCAGCGTGCTCCAATGAAAAGGGCATCGGGGGGGGTTCAGGCTGGTACTGGGAAGCGAACATCATGAAGCATAACTGGAGTGGGTTGGAACAAAAAACAGGACTATGCAGCACTTTAGAGACTAACAAGATGGTTTATTAGATGATGAGCTTTCGTGGGCCAGACCCACTTCCTCAGATCAAATTGTGGAAGAGAATTGGCACAACCATATATACCAAAGGGATACAATCAAAAAACATGAACACACATATAATTGACAAATGAGATTTTAGAACAGAGAGGGGGTGAGGGGGGAAGGTTAGTGTCTGTGAGAGGTAATGATATTAGGGGTGATAATTGGGGAAGCTATCTTTGTAATCTTTGTGATCATTAGCATCTTTGTTAAGGCCCATACGTAAAGTGTCAAATTTAAGCATGCATGACAGTTCTGAGGCTTCTCTTTGAAGTCTGGAGTTAAAATCTCTTTGAAGCAATTTGGAGGGGGTTGGGTTCTGTTAGCCAATGCATACATGCTAGGGGTAGAACACAGCAGCTAATGTGTCATATGGGCAGGGTACTGATATCATGTTGGGGAGCTACCTTACCTGAATGTATTATGGGCATCCCATAATTTTCTTCATCCATATTAAGAATCCCACAATGAACACTTTGCAAAGCTGAAGGCAGCTTTGGAATTTAAAAAAAAACAGGAAATTTGTCAAAGTGATGATGCACAAACGCATTGTGCCAAGTGATGCCGAAGCTTCCTTTCATTCGGGCTCATTGGTGCTGGGAATGTCATGCTCTGAATGAGAGATGGAGAAGAGAGGGAGGTACCCGGACAAGCTGGCATGAACTAGAGCAGTGTTTCTTAAACTTTTTAAGACCGAGAAACACCAAACAATATTTTTTTTATGAGAAACACCAAGGATTTTTGGCTGAACAAAAAAAAGATCAGGGAGGGAGAAGGGATGGGAGAAAGTTATTGAGAGGGGAAAAAAGGGTTGGGGGGAAAGTTATCAAGCAAAAAAAAAAGGTCGCCTACCCTTTTAAGAGCGGCCATTTTGAATTCTGTTGTTCTCCGTGGCACACCTCCAACTGCCTCGTGCCACACCAGTGTGCCACTGAACACAGTTTAAGAAACACTGAACTAGAGGGATGAACTTACACCTGAAGTGGTGTGTAAAGGGTTTTGTCACTGGCAGTGTTGCCCTATCGGTTCTGCTAGCTGAGAGGCCTCGCTTTGAAGCTCACACACTGTGAGGTGAACTTGCTCTGAGGTAAAAATTTGCTTCCTGGAAGGAGGGCGTGTAGGTCTCCGTTTCGTATCACCATTCTGGGTCTTCACATAATACCGTTGGCTACGTTTGGTGACTGGCTCTCTTGACTGTTTTTAAGAATGAATCCCGAGGGCAGTTGGATGTTTGGATACCTCTTTGAATCACTTGTGTGTCTCGGGGTGACTGTAAGCTGTGTGCGCGCATGACCAGTGTGCCACTGAAAAGCCACCCAGTTGATTAGCAGAGCACCCACACCTAGGTTTTTTGTTCCTACCAAAGGTGCACATTCACACTTGCCTCAGTTGATTAGCAGAGTACCCACACCCAGATTTTTTGTTCCTACCAATGGTGCACATTCACACTTGCCTCCGTGCGCATACACGTTTATTCCACACGTGGGTAGAAAAATTAGTGCTTTCAGGCCCTAGTAGGAATGGTGGCACTGCTAGTTTTAGCCCCCTAGCACAAGTCCCAGTGAGTTTTATATTTATATGTACATGGAGATATACCATCTCATAGAGATGGAAGGGACCTTGAGAGGTTATCAAGTCCAGCCCCCTGCCCTCACAACAGGAGCAAGTACAATCCCTGACAGATTTCCCCCAGGACCCTAAATGGCCTCCTCAAGGATTGAGCTCACAACCCTGGGTTTCATTGGCCAATGCTCAAACCACTGAGCTAGCCCTCCCCCCAATGTGGCCCTCTGAGGCTCACCACTGGAGGAGGATGGGGGGCTGGTGGCAGGGTAGATGTAAACTAAGAGTCTCTTCAAGTCTCCAGGCTGCTGGTTAATGAGGAATCCTATGAATGAACTGGAAAATTGGAAGGCAATTAGCTCCTTCCAGCCTTGCAAGGTGCGATATCATTATGGACATTCACCCGCAGGCAAGCCAAGTCCTCATTAAACTCCCTGTAACCTGGCACTGGACAGTAATTATGACCCTTTCTATCGGGCGCGACCAGCTGGAGGCTGACGTGTGGCCCAGCCAGGCCCGGTTATCACCTCTGAGCTTAATGACTTTTTACTCTCGGCTCCGTTCTGCAAAGCAGGGGTTAATTGTACAATGTAAGAGCCAGCTGCAGCCTCTTGTTCACCGAGGCAGGCTTCTTGTAGGATTTGCTAAAACACGAGCTGGTCCTGAGGGAGTTGGGTCTGTTTTTTTCGCAGCTATGTAATTATTATGATTACAAAATTGAACTCGGCATTGATTTTGTTTGGTGGTTATTTCATAGCGGAGATAGAGTCAGATTGACAGACAGCAGAGTTCTCCCGATCCTGCGCAGGGCCCAGCGGCTCCTGGGAGGCGCTCAGTACGGCAGAGGATCAGGCCCTATAGAATAGACACAACACAGAAAGAAGAAGTATCCCATTCCACCCTCCCCCATCATGATTCCGGGCTGCATGAACAGGTGTGTTGTGAGCAAGATACGAGAAGTTATTCTTCCGCTCTGCTCTGCGCTGATGAGGCCTCAGCTGGAGTCTTGTGTCCAGTTCTGGGCACCACATTTCAAGAAAGATGTGGAGAAATAGGAGAGGGTCCAGAGAAGAGCAACAAGAATGATGAAAGGTCTAGAGAACATGACGTGTGAGGGAAGACTGAAGGAATTGGGCTTGTTTAGTTTGGAAAGGAGAAGACTGAGGGGGAACATGATAGCAGTTTTCAGGTATCTAAATGGGTGTCACATGGAGGAGGGAGAAAACTTGTTCTCCTTGGCCTCTTAGGCTAGGACAAGAAGCAATGGGCTTAAACTGCAGCAAGGGAGGTTTAGGTTGGACACTAGGAAAAACATCCTGCCTGTCAGGGTGGCTAAACACTGGAATAAGTTGCCTAAGGAGGTTGTGGAATCTCCATCTCTGGAGATATTTAAGAGCAGGTTAGATAGACGTCTATCAGGGATGGTCTAGATTGTACTGTGTCCTGCCGTGAGGGCAGGGGACTGGACTCAATGACCTCTTGAGATCCCTTCCAGTTCTTGTGTTCTATGATTGATCATGAGCCCTGAGAATGAGCATGAACTGCATTCTAGGAGGAACTACTCCTGCGGGGAAGTTTTAAAGGGACAAGGGTATAAATAAAAGTGCGGTGGGGCTGTCTAGTGGTTAAAGCAAGGGGCTGGTACTCCAGACTTCTGGGCCCTGCATCTACCTCTGCTGCCAACCCCAGGAATGATCACAAAGGGTACATCTACACAGCAACATTATTTTGAAATAACTAGTGTGTGCGTCTACACATCAGGCAGTTATTTTAAAATAATGTCAAAATACTGTCAAGCTGGAGGACTTCTTACTCCAGCTCCTGTTACCCTCATTGTACGAAGAGGAAGGGAAGTTTGAGGAAGAACGCTCTGTTTCAAAATAAGTCCTGTGTAGATGCTCCCAATTCAGAAATAAGGGAAGTAGTGGAGTCTCCATCCCTAGAGGTGTTTAAGTCTCGGCTTGACAAAGCCCTGGCCGGGTTGATTTAGTTGGGATTGGTCCTGCCTAGAGCAGGGGGCTGGACTTGACCTTCTGAGGTCTCTTCCAGCTCTATGGTTCTAGGATTCTATGAGCTATTTCAAAATAAGCTACGCAATTGACATACCTTAATTTGTGAGCTCTTCTCATCAGAGGACCTCGAAGTACTTTGCAGAGGGAACAGAGAGCCTGGTATCCCTGGGCCTTTTGCGGTGGGGGGGCTCCGTGGAAGCTTGCCATGCAGACTGCCCCAAGTCTGGGACTCTGTTCCC